GTACATGTATGACTGCACATATGGTGCAACGCTACATCATGTACAATCAGAGAAATGAAAAGTTGTGCTGCAGTTGTGTGCAATGAATCAAAATGCATTCTGCTGTCATATATACCTAATTAAAATTAATTAACTAATTAATTTTGTAAAAAAAGTAAAGGTTAAAAGTCAAAAAACAACATGCAAATATCAGCATTTTCAGAGAGGGTTCTTGGACATAAGTTTGGAGAATGGGCAAGAAGGGATGAGACTACATTAGTAGTTCTTGAACCACGTCGAAGGCTTTAAAATGAAGACTGACTGATGCTTTCTATTCCTAGATTTTCTAATGAGCAGGTTTGTGATAGGGCCCCAAAACTTGGTTTTTAATAAATCTTTAGGTGGTGGGGATGCCTTTTGGTCTAAAGAACATAGTTTGAGAGAATAGTCAGAAATCTTTTGCATTAATCAGTACAGGATACGATAAAGAATGTGATAAATAGGCTATGATAAACAATAGAGGAGGAATGGCTTTCAAAGGTACAGAAGAGTTATAAATGACTAAACTTGATACCAGACTGAAGTATGATTTTGAAGGGGTGGTATTGTCACAGGAGGAGAAATATCTCCAAAGAAGGGTCAGAGGAGTTTTTTGAGAGAAGGGAGAACTTGACTCTGGACTAGCAGAGTTCTTGATAGATGTTTCAAAATCACATATACCAAGAATCAGAATCTTTATAAGTCAAAGGCATAGTTACACTTTTATTTAGGAAAATAAATATATATTCAAGGTGTAATGGGGGCAATCTCAGGAACAATGCCTTTGCGGGTAAAGCAAGGAGCACATACATTCAAGGGAGAATGTGGACTATCACCAGAGGGAGAAATATCAACCTGTTTGTGTGGGGTGTTAGTATTTATGAGGGACGGTTGCTAGGGGCTAGACTAGAGGTAAAGCCAGAGCTAAGTTATATAATTTTGCATCAGTTTTCCTTGTGTTTGTGCATTGCCCTCATGTTACTTCTTTTTTTTTTTTTGAGGATATTTTTTTAAATTTCAATTTGTTATATATGACAACAGAATGCATTACAATTCATATTACACATAAGAGCACAATTTTTCATATCTCTGGTTGTATACAAAATAGAGCCACATCCTTCATGTCTTCATACATGTACTTAAGGTAATGATGACCATCGCATTCTACCATCTTTCCTATCCCTATTCCTCTTTCCCTCCCTCTCCTTTTCCCCTTTGCCCTCTCTAGAGTTCATTTAATTCTCCCACACCCCCTTCACCCCCCCACAGCATATTATGAATCAACATCCTTAAATCAGAGAAATCATTTGGGATTTTGTTTTTTGGGATTGGCAGATTTCACTTAGCATTTTATTCTCCAACTCCATCCACATATAATTAACAGTTATCTTATATTTGACAAAGGCGCCAAAAAAACATACTTTGGAGAAATCATAGCTTCTTTAACAAATGGTCTGGGAAAATAGGAAATCCACACGCAACAAAATGAAATTAAACCCCTATCTCTCACCATGCACAAAACTCAACTCAAAGTGGATCAAGGACCTAGGAATTAAACCAGAGACACTGCGTCTATTAGAAGAAAAAGTAGGCCCAAATCTCTGTCATGTCGCATTAGGCCCCAACTTCCTTAATAAGACTCCTATAGCACAAGTATTAATATTAAGAATCAATAAATGGGATGGATTCAAACTAAAAAGCTTCTTCTCAGCAAAAGAAACAATCAGTGTGGTGAAAGAGAGCCTACTAATTGAGAATAAATTCTTACCACACTCACATCAGATCTCTAGATTATTATCACACTAATCTCTAGAATATATAAAGAACTCAAAAATCTTAACACCAATAAACCAAATAACCCAATCAATAAATGGGCCAAGGAATTGAACAGACACTTCTCAAAGAAGATATATAATCAATCAACAAATATATGAAAAAATGTTCAACATGTCTAGCAGTTAGAGAAATGCAAATCAAAACTAAGATTTCATCTCACTCTAGTCAGAATGGCAGCTATTAAGAATACAAACAACAATAATTGTTGGTGGGGATGTGGGGAAAAAGGCACACTCATACATTGCTGCAGCCAATATTGAAAGCAGTATTGAGATTTCTTGGAATTCGGGAATGGAACCGCCATTTGACCCAGCTCTCCCTCTCCTTGGTCTATACACAGAGGACTTAAAAACAGCATTCTACGGGGACACAGCCACATCAATGTTTATAGCAGCATAATTCACAATAGCTAAACTGTGGAACCAACCTAGATGCCCTTCAATAGATGAATGGATTAAAAAAAAGGTCACATATATACACAACAGAATATTACTCAGCAATAAAAGAGAATAAAATCATGGCATTTGCAGGTAAAGGATGGAGTTAGAGAAGATAATGCTAAGTGAAGTTAGCCAATCTCAAAAAACCAAATGCCAAATGTTTTATTTGATATAAGGAGGCTGATTCATAGTGGGATAGGGAGCAGGAACATGGGAGGAATAGACGAACTCTAGATTGTGCAGAGGGAGAGGGCATGGGGTTATTAATGATGGTGGAATGTGATGGTCATTATTATACAAAGTATATGCATGAAGATGCAAATAGGTGTGAATATATTGTTTATACAACCAGAGATATGAAAAATTGTGCTCTATATCTGTAATAAGAATTGTAATGCATTCCACTGTCATATATAAATAAAACAAAAGAAAAACAGCATACAACAGGGATGCAGCCAGCCACATCAATGTTTATAGCAGCACAATTCACAATAGCTAAACTGTGGAACCAACCTAGATGCCCTTCAGTAGATGAGTGGATAAAGAAAATGTGAGATACACACACACACACACACACACACATCAATCACACACAATAGAATATTATTCAGCATTAAAAGAGAATAAAATCATGTTACTTCTTTAGACAAGGTTATGGGTGTGAGCCAAGGGTACATCACTCAGGAGGTACAACTGTTCATGGGTGCTTTTTGCGTTTCACTTCATGGGTATTTTCTGCATTTGAATGGTTCATGGGTACCTTTTTTCTTTTTCTTTTCTTTTCTTTTTTTTTTTTTGAGACTCATTATCTCTCTCTCTTTATTCCTGAATTCCTTTCCCAGTAGAACTGTACAGAGATTTCTGGTTTCCAACTTGGGCAGGTAGATGAAAGATAATGGTATCCTTATTTCATCATATAGAGTAAAGAAGGAGAAGCTAGCTGGACGTTTTGGAGTGGACTGATAAGACCTTGGTCTTAGGCAAGTCAAATGGACATTTATGTGGGTGATTTAAATGGAGATATCAACTGGAAAACTTCTGAATTAAAGATATGGGCATGTATGTCCTTACAAGAGAAATTATCATAAAGGGAATGTGGTACAGAACTCTGGGATATGCCAATACGAGACAAAATCAGAATAATTCACCTTCAAAAGGATTGAGAACTGGCAGGATCCCTGGAGTAGGGTATCGCTATGAGGGTGCAATCAACATGTCAACACCAGGGGGAAGTCAAATGACACCTGGACTCAAACATGTCCATTGCAAATAGGGGCCAGAAGACGACAGGAAACTTAGTAGAAGTTGCTTTGTCAAGCAGCTCAGATGGGACCCAGTTTATACTTACCTGAAGTAAGATACACTTTTTTAGAAAAGAACATATGCTGTCTTCTTTTTTGATATTAAATTTCTGTTTTTCAGCTCTGAAGAAGATATGCTATTGATAGAAATGCTTAGCTGAACTAGTTGATGCATATTCAAGTTTTAACCTTATATTTTAGGTGAAATTTAATGTTTGAAGATCAAATAGAGAATCAAAATTTATATATTGTATTCTTTTTTTTTCCCTTTGAGAAAGGAGTACCTTTGTGAGATATTGTCACTTTACCATGGAAGGTTTTTAGAAATGACAGGAGGTTTTGTGGTTAGTCTTTCTGGAAGTTTTATTTTATTCTCCACCATCATCCCTGTTGGGGGACAAGGAATGCAATTATTATAAGAAGATTGTTTTACTCTGTGACTTTGTGTGACAGCTGGGTATGATTATTTTATTAGTTTCTTGATTGATCCAACTGAAACCAAAAAGAAAGACAAGGTCAACAAAGGCAATAGCTGTTAGGGCAGCTGTCAGTTCTGGTAATTTGACCATAACCACTTTTCTTTCCTTTTCAAAACTCTAATGTTTTCCTAAGCAGATTTAAAACAAAACACAGAGAGTAAATAGAAATTGCTTCCACTCAAGGATCAGGACCTGGGATAAGAGTTTCATAAGCAGGATTTATTGGTGGTGTGTTATTTTCTAGAGAACATGGTTAAAATGTGTCTGTTCTATAGCAGCCTACCCACCTCTTTTTTCAGAAACCTTCCTAGCTGGGTGTGTGTACTGTCTTCTAAGTTCCTCTGGACAGCTGACTTGAGATTGAACTGATGTAGTCCCTTCAGTCTGATGCTTCTATTACTCTATTAATTAGTTGGAAAGTTATCCATAAAATGTGGGTCAAATGCAGAATAAGAGGAACTGCCAGTAAAATAGTGAGCCTTCTAAATGACCCAAATAAAAGCACATTTTCTGTTTATGGTACAACTGATCTGATCTAACAGATTCTCTGTGCATGTGCTTTTACTTCGCCCTTTGCTTATTGATCAGTTTTTCACAGAATCATAGTAAAAAAGGAATACTTTAAAAATATCTGACTACAAATGATCAAATGTACAATTGTTATTTCATAGAGACCAAACTAATTTCCTAAACTATAAGAAAATTTACTTGTTGACAGGTCAGGCTCTTACAAGACTGGTAAAGAATATGACTTTTAAGATTTATTATATAAAGCCCCAAAGCTCTCTTCAAACAAAAATCAGTTTTAAATACTTTAAGGAATGACATAAGGTGTTTTCTCTTAATTTGTTCTTCATTTAGGATTTTAAAATGTAAGTACATTGGAGTTCAAATTAATGTTCCCTTTTCCTTTTTTTCTTGAGCAGGTTGTCAAGTTATTAAGCAACAAAAGATCACAAGCAGTTGGAATCTTAATGTCTAGTCTTCATCTAGATATGAAAGACATACAACATGGTAAGTGCAAAAAATAAAAATCCAAGTATTGAATATTAAAATTTGTATATGATGGATTGGTTGGGAGGTATGATGTTTCTTTGGAAGTCTAAAATCAAGATGCCATCATGGTTAGGTTCTATGAGGGCACTCTTCTGGGTGCAGATTGCCATTTTCTCCTTATATTCTCATGTGGCAGAAAGAGTCTGAGAGAATTCTTATAGGTCTCTTTTATAAGGTCATGAATCCCATTCATGAGGACTGTTCTCAAAATCTAATCACCTCCCCAAATCCTTACCTCATAATAACATCACATTAGGGGTTAGGATTTCAACATATAAATTATGGTAGACAAAAATATTTAGTCCATTGCAGATATATTCAGTCTGTTATTAATAAATATTTTTATATCATAAGAAGTGCAGTTGCACTGTGATCTGTAAGTAATTAGACCATATCTGAATTGTTTATTTCTGGATGCCATGCTCAAAGAATTATTGATATATACAAGTGTGAGCCAGATAGTAGGGTCTCTACAGCCATTAAAAATACCTAGGGAAGTTAATCCACAGGACAAAAAAGTTGGTTGAATATTAGTTATGGGTTTTTGATAAGCTAAAATAAAGAAGAAGTAAACCTAAAAGTGTCTACCAGAACAGCTTCAATCAATGTAAGATTCACGGGAAATCTTGTTTTAAGTGTTGTTTTAAGAATGTTCTTAGATTATGATATGTCTAATATTAACCTAGATATTCATGCTATAGAAATCATCATTTGTCTCAAATGAGGGAACATGAGCTATGTTCCCTTAGACCTTCAGTTCGAAGATACTATAAGATGCTGAAACACTAAAGCAATTTTCTTATGTATAAGTTTTTAGAGTGGAAAACTGGTCCTCCTTCCACTTATTTGGGACAACTATAGCATAAATTTTTCTACTTTAGAAGAATTGAATTATTTTATCTAATGTATATGCATATACATGTATGTAGACAGACACATACATATATACATATGTATACACACATAAATCTACATATGTGTGTGTGTATCTAAATTTTTTTGGTAGTACTAGAGGTTGAACCCAAGTCCTCACATATGCTAGGCAAATGCTCTACCACTGAGCTATACCCCAGCACTTTTTTTTTCTATTTTGAGATGGTCTCACTAAGTTGCTCAGACTGGCCTCAAACTTGCAATCTTCCTGCCTTAGCCTTCTGAGCTTCTGGGATTACAGGAATGTGTTATCATGTCTGACTTAATTTATATTTTTAACAGGCTTATAACATATTTTCTATATTTGGAATAAGGGTGGTTTCTAACATTTTCTAAATGGCCTTAGGGTCTTCCCCTGCCCTCCCCCCACCACCACCACTTCTTTATTTTGCAGCTCTAGGGATTGAACCCAGTGATGCTCTACCACTGAGCCACATTTTATTTTTATTGTGAGACATGGTCTTGCTAAGTTGTCCAGGCTGGCTTCTGACTTGAAATCCTCCTGTCTCAGTATCCGAAGTAGCTGAGATTATAGACATACACCAGTGTAGCTGGCTTTTAGTGTTAATATTTTAAAACTTGAATTCTACCCTATAATTGACAGAAATTCCTATCACATTTATGCTGAGAGATATTGCCCAAAGGTGTAGAGAGGAATTAAATCCATGTTCTGGATGTCCCCTAAGCTGCCCCAGAGCCTTAGAATAGATTAAGCAGATTGAATTATCCAATGGAATGACAGTTTACCTATTAAAGAAATATGGTTTTAAGTATAACACAGACCTTATAAATCATGAAAACATTTAACTAGCTTTCTGGCTTACCCACCATGAATGTGGATTCTATTTGTTAGGCCTAAAATATTGTGTGGAATAATTCATAAATAGCGCAAGTGTGGTATGCCCTGTCAATTGATGAGTAACTCTTAATCACAATTAAGTTTTTATTAAATGGTTTTGATGGTGAGGAGACTTCCTCAAGCTGAACCATTTGGGGTAATAGTCATAGAGAAGAATGCCAAGGCTGGCGCCAAGAAGTACTTGGTGTTTCTAAAGCTGGCAGATGTATCCCTGTTAAGTCATAGAATGAAATCTGAAAATAATGATATGGTCCTTTCCTTCAGTCAAATATTCAGCTTGGGTTGAGTTAATAATGAGAACCTTATGAACAAAGGAGTCCGCCTGACATCTGTGTCTGTGGTACAGCCAGCGAGAGTTCATTGAAAATTTGCTGGCTTAAGATGCAACACTAACAATAACATGGCATGAACGTCAGTAGTTGAAGGGTCACACAGAATTATGCATAAACTTTATCCTATTAGGATGTAAAGCCATTGCTTGAATCCCACTGAAACACTGCAACCCCATTTTCTAAAACACAGGCACCTTCAAAGTCTGAAGCAACAAGTAGCCAGTGCCTATTTGTGGATCAAATCCTCTTCTGCCTCAGTGTACTGTCTGGAGCCATGATTTCCATGTGGGAATCACTTGTAGCCTCTAGAATAAACTTTGCTTCTCTCGAGATATGCCTCCACTGAGGATTCCACAGAAGGATAAACATCATTGATTTGAGATGTCGAAGCAGTCACAGAATTTATCCGGTCTTCCAGTGTTATTTTATAGAAGAGCAAACTAAGATCTGCTAATGGTCCAGTTGCTTTCTCAAGCTCATGTGGCTCTCTAATGGAATAGACTGAACTTGCACCAGACATTCCACATCAGCTGTGGTTGTTCTTTCCCATTCATTAGATTCTTGGGCTGATTCTTCAATTTTGTGCTTTTCCTACAATCAACATTAGTATATCTACATACTACATAATATTGTTCGAATAAATTTTTCTAAAGCCTCAGAGTGGATTGTTTTTCCAGAGGTAGCCTTTTCCCTGCCCATTAAAAAATTGTCATAACCCACAAGTCAGTCTAGAAGTTGCCAGATAAATTCGCTGCTACATTCCAGCAGCTCAGAGTTTCACTGTAACTTTCACACACACACAATTAGTTATTTGTGGCTGCCCTGCTATATTTACTGGTGCTATTTTCTCCCCTTCTCTCCTTCCCTGTCAAAACTCTAGAGAAACCTAAAGTTGAATTTCCTTTGTAATGTTTCTATTTTAAAGTGTTCTGTTAGAGTCAGGAGTATCTAATTTTGGATTCTAGGTGTCAAAGGTCTAATCGAAGTGCTACTACCTTCATGCACCATATCATGCTCAAGTGAATGCAGGTTATTCTCACAACAGCAGTTCCACAATTCTCAATGTCACAAAAGGTCAAAAGACAGAAAAAGAAGGGATTAGACTCTTTTTAAAAAATTTTTTCTAATTAGTTATGCATGACAGCAGAATTCATTTTGATTCCTTGTATACAAATGGAGCACAACTTTTCATTTCTCTGGTTGTACATGATGTATAGTCACACCATTCATGCAATCCTATATGTACTTAGGGTAATGATGTCCGTCTCACTCCATCATCTTTCCCACCCACAGACCCCTCTCATCCGCTTTCTCCCCTCCCAGGGATTGGAATCTTAACCATGTCTATCAGTGCAGTAAATATAAGCAAGAAAGCTGTATGCAAGTGTGTGTGTGTGTGTGTGTGTGTGTGTCAGTGTGTATTTAAAAATCAAGCTGCTGGAATGAATGTACTTCTACTTCTAAAGCAACCTGTAGATTTTAATAATTTGTTAGCGTGGGTGAAACTACCTATGAAAAATTTCACTCTGATTGTATACAGTAACTTAAAATCTGAGATGAAGGTACATTCCACAAGTGATTTGCCTTTTTTGTGTGGTAGGACCTGGGGATCCTTTAGGTTTAAGATTACTTTAAATCAAGTTTGAGGGTCATTCCAGGCACTAAATGCATAGCCCTGCATGGGTTGGTTTCCCTGAGTCTGCAGGCTTTGATTACCAGTTTATTATGGACAAGGTCTAGAATCTGTACCTTGGGTGGATTTTGAGCTTTGATATTTGGTCCCTGGTTCCATGAGGTTGTCAACAGAAAGTTCAGACATATTGGGATAGGTTAAAAGTCTCAATGTCACTTCTTTGGTGCCTTTATGATACTTTACAAATATTTACATATATTTGTGTGTGTGTGTGTGTGTGTGTGTGTAACACAAATATTTGATCTAGCATTTTAAATTGTTCAATGTAAGAGGATTGATTCAAATAATATAGCCTGTTATTTCCATAAATTGGTTTTGAATCTATTCTACAGCTTTGTAATGGTAGTTTAGTTTTGGAAAATAGATTGAATTTTTTATGCAACACTCAGTCCATATTCCACGATCAATGTGATATTCATACATCTTAGGTTCATTTTAGTAGATAAGAACAGCTGCAGAAGAATTTCAAATTTCATGAGGCTTAGCTTTATCTCCCCAATCCAATGTCACTATTCAGTAGAGATTTCATATAGTTTGTCATTCAAAATGGATTATTTTGATAGAGGAAATGGTGCCTTCAATAACAATTCCTGGATAAAAAGTGTAATGGAATTTTGCAGGTACATCAGTATTACTGTCACTCTGCTGCTAGCTCATACTGAAGCAAGATTCAGATCTAATTCTCCCTATAATACCAATATTTATTAAACATATCTTTTGGCCAGTAGGAACAAAATTGTCTGAAAAACCTATTTTGTAAATTTGAAGTTGCCTGGCTCTCTGTTCTTGTAAATATTCTCATCAAGATTTTATATAAAAGATTTATTTGTTCTAGACAGATGCTAAAACATCATGGAGGTAGGAATCTGTTACTCTTATAATTTGCACCAGGCATCAAGAAATCCAATGTCTGGATCCAAATCCAATGTCTTAGATCCCAATGTTTCATAAAGATCCATACCGTAGTGGCAAATAACTGTAATCCCAGTGACTCTGGAGGCTAAGGCAGGATGATCACCAGCCTTAGCAACTCAGCAAGGCCTTAAGCAAATTGGTGAGATCCTTCCTCAAAATAGACAAAAGGGGTTAGAGGATGTGGCTTTGTGGTTAAGTGCTCCTGGGTTCAATTCCCAGTACCCCC